AACTAACTCTGTCCATTTCGCTGCACCCGCTAAATACGAGGGAAGTTTAGGAGAGAGAAAGCCTATAAGCTCGAATGTGCATGCATTCCATAGCAACTAGCTTTTTTCGCGGGGCCATTTAGCCTTTCTCATATGTGTGTCTGGTGCAGTGTTTGTTGAGTGCTCTGTGGGAAACGAAGTTTTCATTCAGTGGAGCAAGAATAATGCTTGGATTGATGTTGCCATGGTGACGCTCGGGTAAAAGGGGTGTTCCACCAAAAGGTCTTCAGAGTGAGCCTCCGTATATCCGGCCTAATCGCTCCTCTCTCATCGCTGGATAAGATGACCGTGGCTAAAGTGGATCAAGGTGAGCTTTTTCATTTAGTCGAATTCATTCGCATCTGTTGCAGAATAGTTTTCGTTGGACAATTCACACTGAGGGGACACACTTTTAATTATTTTACATCTTCTTCTGACTAGGGGTGGAGAAATGGGGAGGGGCTTATAACCACCTATTGGGAGAGTGGGTCGTCCGTGGGAAGGCACTGCACTACTGGAGACAAGTATAACAGCAAGCAAAGCAGAGGTCAAACGGATAACTGTAACTTCAATTCCGATTTTTTTTTTGTAATTTTTGCGTTTCATGTTCACTTTATATACCCTGGGTCGGCGAAACTCCCGTTTCATAAGCAAATTCATCCTTGCCCTTCTTCTGGCGTTTCAACAGCAGAGAAAAAAGACAAGCCAGTGGAGTCGGTGAGAGGGGGAAAAATTGTTTTCGGAGAATCCCTCGCCATGATGACAACGGGTGCGTGCAGTACCCAAATTGGATCGTCGCCAAGTTTGGCTGTCACTCTATTCTGGTAAGCCGATTTGGAGGGATTTCCTTTTCGTTCGACTATCTTACAGTTTAAAGGAGCATTATCATGTATTTCTTCGAGAACCACTACGAGGCGAGACAGTGATGGGTCCTCGGTAGTATAGTGGTGAGTATCCGCGTCTGTCACATGCGAGACCCGGGTTCAATTCCCGGCCGGGGAGAACTTTTTGCATTCTTGTGGAGTGTTAAGCGTCACACTGGAATTTTTCCATGAAAATCCGGAGTTGAATGGGTTACAACAATAGGGCTTAATTGGTATCAAATGGCAAAAGTTCTCCCCGGCCGGGAATTGAACCCGGGTCTCGCATGTGACAGACGCGGATACTCACCACTATACTACCGAGGACCTGTCATTAGTCACCACTCGGTCGTTTCACGAACATTCGTCCATTTCAGATCAGGCGTCTAAACTAGGAGAAACTGCGTAATAAGCTATTTATTTATTTATTTGATTGGCTGCGTACAGAAATGCTTGAATTGTACACCTGCACTCCAAGCATCCAAAAAGGTGTGAGGAGGTTGGTAGCTGAAGGTTTTCGGGTTCGAAAACGTACCTTAAGATGCCTGAGCTTATGAGTGAGACGCGTTTTTGCTAACGCTGGGGTAAGCTACATCGCTTAGCGATAAATTGCTGTGCCTGATCGCCTTGATGAGTTGAAATACGACCTTCCCCCCCCCTCCAACAATGAGCAAATACGACCCCCCCGCCCGTTTCACAGTGTCGTAAGAAAGCCGAGGAAAAAATCACATTGTCACAAATAAATTTCTTTCGTCACCCAGAATACGACCCCCCTGGCTGCGGCCAAATACGAGCCCCCGCCTTTCGAGTTTCCCAACAACGATGTGTCCTGTTCCTTATAACTGAACACGAATTATTACTCATCCCCGCAAATTATGGGAGATTGAAACATGCAGTCAGAACGTTATGAGATTTTAAGTCGCATTAGACTTAAGAAAATTAGTTTTTGAAAAACGTTGCTGATGTTTTGTTCGCTCATATGAGGTCATTCATATGGTTTGCAAAACTTGGCTCTTTTCTTTCTCTTCCTTTTTTCTTTTCTTTTTTTCTTTTTGTTTCTTTCCACGTTCATTCCTGCTTTAACATACATCAATCAATCAATCAACAAACAAAAACACGCAATCACCGGCTCTAGTCCGTCATTGGTATTTTTATGCCGAGGTCTAGGCAGACGGGCAGATTTTAACACTCAAAGCTCAAGACTGGAAGGAGGTTATAGTTCGAAATGTCGGCTCTCAGATTGTTTGGCACTGTTTGCCCTTTACCGGCCCTTTTTTCGAAACAGACCACTCTTTAATCAAAATATTGGTCTAGCGGTGGATTTCGCCCAGACTTGTCCACAGGGCGTTTCTACTGACGATGGCAATCCAGAATAAAAGTCCCTTTCAAAGTCGAAAATGCCCTGTTGCCTGCGACATAGGTGCCGGCATCACAGTCTTGCTGTGGCGCTCATGGCACACACACACCAGTCGTTCTGGTGGAAGTGAATGTACACTTGCCTCGAGCTAACCAGGAAAGCTCAGCAAGTCATGCCTGGCCATTGCGTCAGTGAGTGCGCACGTGTGCCGTCTCGAGACGGTGAATATCGTCTTTGAGATTTGCGAACGAATTCTCTGGCCGGAGTCATGGAGGGAATTACCCTGCCGTAGTGTTTTACATGCTAAGCGAGCAAACGTGAAAGCAGCTGTACATAAAATGTATGGATCCTTCTCAAATGTAGTAGTGCGGCGCAACGATAGGCGAGTGAGTTTCCCTGGGCGACACAGCTGGGATCAATTCCCGGTGAGTCGCACATTTTTGCAGATTTGTCCAAGAATATGACTGTGAAAGTGTACGACGCTCACTATGGCCTGAAGAGCTGGTGTTGTCACCCTCCTCGTAACCACATGTTCGCAAAAGTTTTTGCAATGAAATACCATGACATTCATGTTCAGCTAGTCTGTTTACCTCTGGGGACAAGTTTCTAGCCAAATCTGATATTTCGACCTAACTTGGAAGAACGTGGGCCATTCTATGACTAATCGGCAGCAGATCGGAGGTTCACCGACGTCATCATATACAGCAGAAAAATTTATTTTATTTTTTTAATTATTATATTTTAAAATTGTATTTATTTAACAGAACATGAAGACCTCCATAATCGCTCCAGAGATATTTGTTCGCGCCAAGTTATGAAAGATACCTGAGCTTACCGTCTGCCAAGGCGAGTACAATGATGTGCACCTCAGTGCATATGGCCAGGCTGACCTGTTGACCTTTCCTGATAAGGGCTCCTTGGATCACTAAGGTGCTCCTTGAGGTCACGTTCCTCCAGCCAGCAATATACGTGTATAGAATATGGCTGAATACAGGCACTTGCAGCTGAGGGGTTTTTCATGCCAGGCGAAATGCCATATCCGGTTTCGGAGGATGAGCCTCCCAGGGCGGGACGAAATCCTTGTCAACCGCGCAACGTTCTCGTGGAAAAATCGGATCGAAATCTGACTGTGAATTCATAGAAATTTCGGTTAATGGTGCCCTAAGGGTAAACGGTGACAGTAACTCCTCATGCCATTTCGGCCGTTGAAAGTGCCTCGTTGAAGATGACAAGGCACGGAAAAGGTGGTAATCCGCAGGTAAAATGTGCAGACTATGCAGTGGAATGAAGTCGCTTACCAGGATTTGGTGATGGAAATTAGGATGTGCGTCGATTTATAGTCAATTAGAGGCATCCGCGTTTTACTTGCATTGTTAAGTATTCTTTCGTTCGACTATTTGTCTGGAGCTTTGCAGTATTCCCGTGCAGAATGGGCTTGCTGCTTATCAAGCGAAGTGACAGAATAAGCTTTGGTGTGTGCTGCGACTTACCTTGCGTCATATCCGGCGCGCACATTAGCACCACTCGCTCTCGCTCATATGTATGACGTAAGGAAGGATCACTCTCCGTCTTCCGTAAACACGTGACTCTATCAGCGTCCCAACTAATCCGCGATATGTGAAGAACAAGGACACATCATTGGTTGGGGATTTTAGTCGACTCTGTACCGACCCCCCCCCCCCTCCCAAAAATGACCAAGTACGACCCCCCCCCCCTTTACAACGTCCATCAAGCGAGAAAAATCAACTATCAAAATAAATTTTTCCCAACACGTAATACGACCCTCCTGGCGGCCAAATACGACCCCCCCCTATTGGGGATTCCCCAACAACGATGTGCCCTGTGTGAAGACTCAGTGAAACTTCACATCTTATGGCGCGTTCACGCGCATTCAGTCCACGTCGCTGCAATTTCAGAACTTTTTTGCCAGGCGAAAGTGGTGGAGCACAATGAAGATTTAAAAGTTCTGCAGTCTCCCGCCTAGCGAGAGGCGTTCAGTCCCATTAAGTGTTGGAAACGGAAGGGGATGAGAACAAAATGAAGTACGCCAAAGAAAACTTAGGAAGAAGCATTCGCGGCACTCGAAGCTAAGGTGCGCCCTATGCGTGGGTGCACCTTACACTGAGGCAACGTTCAGACTTCGCGACGGCGGCGCTTCGGTCGCGCGTTCGGGCGATCGATCGCGCCCACTTACGACGATCGCGTCGCTAGTGCTAGCGTACGATTGTGTAGCGCGACTGATTAGATAGCGCTCCAATGCAAAAATCGACTGCTAGTGCACTAGTAACGCAATCGTCGTAAGCGTGCACCACCGATCGCCCGAATTGACATAAAAAGGGGAAATGTCATCCACAACTGGCTAGAAACGTGACGTTAATGACGAAAATATTTTTTGGACAAAGAAATGGAGAAAATTGTTGGGAAACAGGTCTTCGCCTCAGCAACAGCTCTGTCACACGCCCCAGCATTCGCAGCGAACAAGACTGTACAGTGGTGATCCAGGGTATAACGATTGTAGAATGTGTAGAATGCGATTGTAGAACGCCCATGCGGAGTCGATCGTCCGGAGAGTCGATCGTCCCATTCCTTACCCCATTGGCTCTGAGACTCTAACGATTTCTATCCTAGCTTAGTCTGTCTCTTCTTGAGTCTCTGTCCTCTTTGCACATCAGTTTACTTGTATCCAAATGAGACTGCTCTCCACACACTTCTAATTTTTCATGCGGCCAGATTTTGACAGAAATAACTATTTCACTTTTTAGCCAATGCGACGTACTCATCCCTTCGGATGGCAGTACTTAACCTTACTCCTGATGACTCCAAATGTCGTCTGTACTGCAAAGGTCGTGCTTGTCGCTACTGCAACATATTTGTTGGGACAAGTGCCATTCCTGGACTATATTCTACCTGGTGAGTTACCACATAGTCTCGCATACTTTCAGTTACTTAGCTTTTTTCAAATATTTCTCCAACTTTCGTATAGATTGTTGTTATGTGGGCATTTTTCAAGGATTACTGACGATATTCTTGCCATGGCCAGACCACAGCCAGCTCACTTTGAGAACGATGAGATTATACGTCCTTCTTAAAGAGTGAGTATAGAGAACATTCCTTCAAAGTTCAGGTGCTGGACTTTCGCGGAAAAGGCAATAGATGTGGGGCACACAATCGCGAGACTTTGCCATGCCATGTCTTCTTTATCTGTAGGCATTCATGGAATAGGAAGGCTACGGCATACTATGGATGAATGGTGCGCAATCAGTCGAGGCGTTTTGGAGGTACGATATAGCGCTATCCCTTTTCCCCACCAGGTTTTGGTAGGTGCAAGAGAAGCGTCAATTCGCGCCAGTGGGTGTCGCCTTGCGGCGTCGCGCCCACTAATGACGACAATTTTAGGTGGTATTGGTCAAAAATAGGCACTGTACGACCAAGAATAGTCGTAAATGTCTACCATGTCCTTCGCTTACAGGGGAAACCCGATGCTCCTATTGAACGTTTAGTGCAGAATTGAGGAAACGTCGCACCCGTTGCCGCGCGAGATGAAGCAGCAAGTTACGATTCACTTGCCCGTCTTCCACATCGTTTTCTACCAATAGTGATCGATCAGGAAAAAACAACCAGTTAGATGGAAGAGGGCTTTTTTGTACGGATTCTGTTACTGCGCCTGAGTGAATGCCAACGATGTCAACTGACCAGGCCAACTATTCCGAGTGTCCTATTCTATGATTCGAAAGATGGTAGCACAGACGAAACTAGTCTAGATAAGACAAGACATTGACGTGTAGGTAGTTACGCACACTCCAACTACTTACTCGATTTTCAATCGGATTGCTGTGCACAGGCACTATATGCGGAATCAAGATTTTAGCAAACGCTAACATTTTAGAAGTAAAATTCGAGCCGTGTTCAATCTAGAAGAGTCCGGTGAGCATTCGTTTTGTGGATCGGGAAATCTCGTCGGAGGATTCAGCTACGATCCTGAGCGCCTCATGAGAAATGAGAGTACGTTTTGTAGGAAGCCCACTTTGGCGGCACTTGCCAAATCGTACTGCGCCCTGCACGCTGGTCTATTTGCTACGAAAAAAACGCTCGAAGTTATTCCAGATAGTCTACTACAGACTTTCCTCTACCCGATTTCGAAGCTTGCTAGTCCGCTCGCTAGTGGACAGTCGCCCCCCCCCCCCCCCCATACACTGTTATGATCTACAGTTGACTAGAGGTAGCAGTTTGAATATTCCAGCTGATTTTTCAAGAAAGTTTTTAGTATTTTTTTATTTTGAAAGTGCGTCTCATCTTCTTTTGATAACACTATAATTTACGTATCGAGGTTGGTCGCCATCAGCTAGAAAGTCTGATATTCACGGGTAGAAACTCCAAACGAATCGGTTCCTTGCTATCGCTGCATTAGGAGACCCGAGTAGGGACAGAACTTTGTTTTTTGTGAAGCTGTAGTATCTGGAAATCGCGCCAGAGTTCCTCTGTGAGGCCCAGTCGGATTGCCCGGCATTGCTGTTACTCACAAAAATTTTTTCGAAAATTATCATTCGCGGACCGCCACTACTTTCCTTCACTTTCCTTCGTGCGACAAAAACACACAAAGGACAACTTTCGCTTATAATAGAGTATGAATTGTAGATGATGATGGGGTGAGGTGTGCCCAGGTTGTTAAATAATCGCGAAATTTGGTTAGAACATTTCGCTTGAGGCTTCGGAAATCTGTTGGAGAGGAGGGTATACCACTGCATTAGTTGGTGGTTATATATTTTTGGAACGATCTTTATACCACAGTGAGAAGTTCACTAGTGGAGGGAACTCCTGTTGAGGAGTCTCGTGGTTATGAACAGCGGAATCCGCCCAAAATCATAATTTGTGAATGGCTAACCAAGTTGCTAAGGGACACGCTCTGCCTGCTGTAGGTGGGTCCTGGCAAACATCTTTTACATCCAGCGTACTTAAGATCCTCTTCACGGAAGTTTGCCCCTTTCTCAGAGCAGCTATCAAGTGTTCGGAACTTATGTGTGTGATTTTTTCCTGAGGCGAGCCGCTGCCCCATGTCGCTGTACACCATTCCCCACCGCGGGACTCACTGTTCTTATTCCACTGGCCGACCTGTTGTCACCGTGTCTGTTTTTCCAATCCTTTATTCACTTTTGGCACCTTGAGCGATTTTCGTGCTTGGCTGCCGCGACCGCCCACTACTTTCCTTATCTGGTCATCCGACAATACACACAGACACTGCTGCTTTAGATATAGAGTATTGATGATTATCGCCGCTCTCACTATCCATACCAATGCGCGAAATTTCGAGGCTGCATGAATCCGTATCCGAATATTTCGTGCAAGAGACCACCTCTCCTTAAAGGCACTTTCCGCGATAAAATAAGGCTATGACCTTTCAAATGTGTCAGACGATCCGGAAGGAGATTGCGGAGGCTGCGCTACCTTTAGAAAGTGAAAATCGGCAAGAATTCCGCTTTAAGCTAACCAATTAGGCCCGGGGGCCGCCCCTTAATTAGGCCTCTGATTGGGCTAACTTCTGTCTTCAAACGGACCTTGGGAGCCACTTGCCACGTAGAGCCCCACTCGGACCTAAAGACACACTTTGGACGAGTTTTCCGGCTCTTAGGGGCGATGGACGAGTTTTCCCTGAGATTCTCCGCACCTAAAGACCCGTTTCCGCGAAAAAACCGGCAGTGGACGAGTTGTCCGCCTTTCGGACGAGTTTTCCGTCTCTTGGGGCAGTGGACGAGTTATCCGTCTACGTGGACGAGATTCCCCGTACCTTCAAAAGCGAAAAAGGCGAAAAAATCGCGAAAAAATCACTAAGGAATCACGAAAAAAACCGGCATGGAGTCCCCTTAGGGACGAGTTTTTTGCTCAAAAGGGCATTATGATGCCCTTCGAGCAAAAATAGCAAAAATACCTTGCTTCTCGGCCACCTTTGCCGAAAAGCAAAAGTACCGGCCCTTTTCAAGGGGCCAGTGGGGATGAGCGTTTTAAAGGAAACTGCTCTTCCTTTTTTTTTGCCTCTTGCTTTTTTTTGCTTTTTAAGGAAAAACGCCCGTTCTTTTTTTGGCTTCCACGCAGACACCCCAATCAATCGCCTTATGCAGGAACCAGGATCTAATTAGAGCGAGGAGAGTACAACTTGACGAAACTTCTGAGAATGTTACGTACCGCGCCTTCCAGAGAAATAAGTCAGCCCCAATACTCGATCGTTTCATGCCATGTTCACCCGTGCCACATGACTATTCAAAATGAAATAGGTGTCATTCCGTTGCGTATTACATAGTCCATAACGTAGCTCAGTATGCCACAGGAAATCAAATGGTGCCCCCCCCTCCCCTTTGAGGTAATTATCGCCGCTCTCACTATCCCTCCAATGAGCGAAATTTTGAGCTTCAGGCTCATGGAATTCTATCACGATATTTCGTGACGAGACCACCTCGCCTCCTTAATAAATATTCGAGTGCTCACACCCTTCATGCATTCGCATGCGCCTCATGAACATCGAACAGTGGAAGCAATGTGGTCCATTGGTTACATATCATCAGCTTAGCAATATAAAGGGGTCTACCGTTTGGGGACATCACAGAGAGGGGAGGGGAATTTTTAATACGACTCCCCCAACACTCGTCGAGCAAGCCGAAGAAGGGTGTGACATCGGATCAGTTATAAAGTGAAGTCGAAAAGTAGTGGACTCCGTGATCAGGAGCATTGACGCATATGCCTGCGCATCGCACGGTGTCTCTGAAAACGAATTCCGCTGGCCATTCTCTCACGCGATAAGGATGATGAGTTGACAAATTGACGAGGTTTCTAATGTGGGGTTGAATCATCAAATAAGAATACCGTTCGATGAAAATGTTACCGGATTGAATTATACCCCAATGAGTAATGATGAGTAATTCACAGGAGACAGAAATTACGCGAAAAAAGACTTCATGTAACTGAAAACGTTTGAGCCCCAAGTAAATGATCCTAATAATAATAATAACGTCATTCGGAAATCTGCAAACAGTTGACTGTTTGAGAATCTCTGGCCGAAAGTGCTGGGCCGGTCACTAAACGCGCGACCCTGTGGTCGAATATCGGATCGGCTCCGGGTTATCCGAGCCTTTTTCCTCCAAGGAAGCTATTGTGTTGAAATAAACGTTTAAGAAGGTGAAACCATAGATGACTCTCACAAATTACTATACTATAGTATACTGAGCAAAGCCATTGTTGCAAATGCTCTGAAACTGCTATATTCCTCCAGAAGCGCAGCTGCCGTCACGCTTATATGAAGTACGCAGTTAGGGACCCCACATCTCTGGACCTTAAAGTGTAGAATGCGTGCGCATCCTAAAAAGGGAACAACGGTTTAAATCTGTACAGCTATTCGCAACTATATTATATCCCCGAAAAAGTGGACTTCAAAACTTGTTTTGATGGAGCTGGTCTCGAGATGTTAATTAGACTCGCAAAAGTACGAATATGAACTTATCTTGGTTCGCATAACTATCAAACATTTGTGCAACATTTCACTATATCCCGTGATCGTATTAAAGCAATACCAAGCATGAAGCACGTTAGAGACACAGTCATGCTAATCAGATGGGCGGAGTCACACCCACCTGGTGCCTTCTCCCCTGGAGCGCTCTTCCACTTTATGGCCTCAAAAGTTATGTGCACTAAAGAAGAAAGCACAATGGTTGGGGATTTAGCCCTTGTCGGGCCCGTACGGTTATGGTGGACTTTCCGCTGAAGGGCTACCTGAATGCTCATAGAAGATGGTTCAAGGTAGTTAATGTTTAATCCTATCGCTTCTATTGCCAAACGGTCGCAGTCTGGTTTGGAAGGGACCCCAAATGGTTCATAGCTAAGTTTGTACAGGTCATATACTGAAGACCTTTAGATTCCCTCAACCGAAGCGCCTCACCGCGCACATTTTTGCAGCTTCACAATAATTTATGTCTCACCAGAGTGAGAGCTGTTACTTAACATGAACTAATAACAGGAATCAGAAAAAATGCAAAGTGCCTCCAAGTGCTCCCGAATGCTCCTCAGCTTATCAATCAGTTGTTTTCAGGGAAAGTCGCTGTTCACTGTCATGCAGGTCATGGAAGAACGGGTATGGTTATAGCAGCATGCCTGATGCTAGTGCGAGGAGTAACCCCACGCGAAGCCGTCGCTATTGTCAGACAGAAACGGTACATATTTGACAGAGTGCTTACCCTACAGAAAGTGAGCTGAGCGATTCCAGGCCAGGCTCGGTGCAGAGTACGGATCAAGTTCAAGCTTTGCACGCCCTCCGTGCCCTCCTTCTCAACGATGCCTCTGTACTTCCAACGTCACCATTCCGTTCAACTTCGAAATACATTGAATTCACGGGTCGTGTGCTGCCTAGAATGGACATGAGACGATACGGCAAAGTTCCCAAGGTTTTTTTTCAAATGATCAGAGATTTAACCATTTCTTGAATACTTCGCCTTTTAAAATGACCTGTTTCGAGTTATCCGAGTTCTAATTCTTTTGTTACAGTAGAATTTACATAATTTTGATTGTTGCAGCCGCTTTTCATTGGCATGATCGCCCTTCTCCGGAAATTCTACAGTACTGTTGTGTTGAGGACCGAGTCATACACAGAAAACCCATGGCGTTTCCGATTCAAATGTCGCCGATCAACGAACTTCGTGTAAGTTTTCTTAGAAGAGGACATATCCATATTGCTAATAGAACACGTCACCGCCTACCTATTACTGCTGGACTGTTCGGAATTCCGTCTAGGTTTGATGGAACTTTGCCTGCGAGAATTGGCTAAAAATTTGTCCCTGAGGCTAGTCTGACCCCTTGAACAAGGTCATCATGTTCAGTTAAAGAGCGCCTTGCGCCCGCCACGGGCGCATGCCAAATTTGGTCGAAGCATGCTTCAGGAGCACCTTGACGGCATGAGTTTGAATATCACATTAGTTTGGCGTGAATACGCTCGGTGCGACAGCTGCGGTCACCCATGCTGGAACTGGTTGCAGCACTGGTTTTTGCTTCAGAAGCATGCCGATATTCGTTGTGATGCGGTCACATCACCTCCGAGAACAGGGTCTCAACCATATCTACTTCAAGAGAGAAAGAGAGAAAAAAGTTGGGTAAAGTCTGACAGAAACTCCCAGGAGTGGGGCAATAACGAGTGAATAGTGCCGAGATTCGCTCACTCATCCCTGCGCTCGTTTACCTAAGTCCCGCATAACCTGTCGTCAGTCTGGCTGACTATCGTTTCTTTCCTTCTTTTAGAAGTGAATAGCGCCCCGTATTTGAAAAAAACCTTTGAAATTGGGCGAAGTAAAGAAAAAAAATGAAGATGGCATCGCGAACTTTCATAAGAGGCAACTGAGTTTTACGAATTGTTCCGGCATGTCAGTGGAACTCAGAAAAATGCCTGACTGACTAACTCCCACACGTCCTACACGTTCTGAAGAGGGACGTCCCGGAGATGGCACCGTATTCCCGAGCTGACCCTCCTCGCTTATGCACACGTCTTTCCCCCATTCCGTTGAACCTCGCTGCCGTCGCTACGCTCACAGCTTCCTGCTCGCTAGCCTCAGATATAATCTGTAGAATCACAACTCAAATTCATGTCAAAGGTATCACAGGTATTTTTCGATGATTGCTAAGTTTGTGTAGAGCTCTCAGGCTGTTTTGATTTTAGAGTCACAGAAGAAATGCTACATCTTATGGGTGTCGATGTAACCACACGAGGGCAAACGTATTACTTCCGAAGAGTACAACAAGGAATAAACATAATCAATTTGGAGAAATTTTTGATGGTAAGCAGATTGGTTGCCATTAAAGTAACAATTCATCAGTTGTTCTTGAAAACGCCGCACTTCATGCAGGCGAGGAGAGCAGTTCGTTCGACGCTTTCCTCCACCTTCTTCCTGCCTTCCAAATCCGGTCCGCTTATGTTGAAGTCTAACTTCACTCACCTCTTACCCCTTCCAACACAGGTTTTCCAGTAAAAACTATCGTCACTGGGATGTATTGTATCACACCATGCCAGTCACTAAGGTACCAGAACATGCTAAAAAAAGAGAACAATAGGAGCCTCTGTGATGATTACTCCGAGCGCGTTATAGCGCCTTTGCGACCCTGCATGTAAATGCGGCTCATACCACTCCCAGCGCCTTCTCCATCCCTCTGAAAGTAGGATACCTTCTGCTCTAGAACGGCAGTAAGTAGCTGCCTCTGTGCTCCTTGCTTTTGCTGCCAGCTGTCCATATCAAAACCTAGCGAGTGCAGTCGTGCAGCCTTGCCTTCAGATAGTAGCACTAGGGGAGATCAGAGATCACTCTCGAGTACAAGAGCGATTTTGCGTGCTCGATGCTGTGGGGTTGTATAGGGGACCTAGGGTAAATAGCGGGCATATGTTCGTGGATTGTTGCAGGTTTTGTGTGTAGCCTTAGCTCCGAGTCGCAATATCGCAACCTCTCTTAACTTTCTGAAGTGAGGACCCAGACGTAAAGAGATAGCAGACAAGCCGCAGCGCGCCACGTTAAATGGATTGGGTCCTAGTATGGATGCTGCGCACGCCACTCGCTTGCAACATTTCTTTCTTCGCGCTCAGCGCGACAATAGAGCTATACAACCTCCTGTACCTCCGAGGCGCTGAACATTTGAATGGCACCACAGTGATTAAAGGGAGGACCCGAAGTCGTTGCAGTCCTACAGAACCGATCATAATCCCTCCTGTAGAATAAAAAAAACTCAGAATATCCACGCGAGCGAATGATTTCCCGATTTCCAGGAAGAAAAGGACATCGTGGAGTTGGTATCGTTCATCGACTTCTTCATGCGAACAGCATTCTTCCAGTTGATGACCTCGGAAGATTTGACGTCATTCTTGGCTGCCGCTCATTCCTCTGAAGAGTGTATGAGAAAGGTGAACATCTCAGAACGAATAAAAAAATCTCTTACCAACCATTTTTTTCCGTGATTGCGTCATAGGCTACCGACGAGAGCTGTTGTTCCGCAAAACCTTGACAAACGTTTCTTTTTTTCGGAACAGCAGCTCGGAAACCTTAGGGAACGTGTCCCAAAGGATGTTTCATTCTGCTTTTCCCATGAGAATTCACAAGGTGATAAAATGAGCTACTCCAGACAAGCTAGTCACGAGAGCCTTAGATGCGCTGGCCCCTTGGCGTGTGGTCGCTGGGCTAGAAATTCAAAAAAAAGTTCTGACTTTATTGGTCACAGTAAATGCATCTTTGATAGTGTCAAGCAGAGCAAGGCAAATTTGGAGAGTCAGGCTAGAATACAGTGCCCCATCCTATTATTATCCCAACGTAGCCCCCTCTAAATATCATGTGCTCCTCCTTCTAAAGGACGCGGTTATATTCTTGAATATGGGCAATCGTAATGGTGAAAGGGGCGAGCGCCAATAAAGAAGTTTAGGCTCAGTTCGGCTTGTTGGGGGCACCGAATGCCACCCAGCTGTACTCGAAATTCCTGAGATCGGGTAGGCGTGGCTGCATTCTTCAACTTAACATGAAGGTGTCTATGCTTTTGGCATCTGACACTACTGTTGTCATGTCTTCCGAACACAGAACAAGATGACAGTTGCTCCAGACAGGAATATTCCATGAGTAACCAATTTCGTGCCATGTTCAAATGCCACGCCTACTTTGAGCTCTAGGGAATCAAGGAGTCGCTCAGCCCGTGCAACTCACCTTGCATAGACTTGCAAACTCTGTGACCAAAATGGCTCACCAGCACCATTTCGCAACTTCAATCTCACCTTGGAGAGGACTTCACAAATCTCTCCAAGGTGAGATTTGTTTTTCCAACATGAAATTAGCAAACTCCCCATTACTTAACAGCTCCAAGGTTGCCTACAAAAAGATCTGACCCGATTCGACGACAAATGGAATCTTATGACTCACTTCCACCTAAACATGTGATAGGGGCTTCATTTTTGTTCATAGTAGAACTGTTTGTCGACTGCCGCCTATTCACTAATTTTTAGGATTGGTCATGGAGTGTGTGCTTCGTGATGAGTGCAATCTGCTGTCTCCCTGAACTGATGCATCGGCGGTTTGCATCACTGCTTGCTGAATGGTTCGCAAGAGGGGACAGAAAAACAGCTCATACTGTGCTCTACTGGATTGGTCAATCTAAGAGTCAGGGCTCAAAGAGCTCAAAAGTACAAATGTCTTGACGAGGAAAGGTCATACCATGAAAACTTGGAAGGAGATCTAGGTAATTTGTCGATGGAGCCTAGAATGGTGTGTACAATTACGGAAACTAAAATTGCTACCTGCATCTCCCATGCGAGTTGGGAGCGATGAAAGTTCGCATCTGGTAGTTCATTGAAAGCAGTTTCAGAGTGCATCCGAGAGTCAGAAGGATTTTGTGATTCGAATTTGCCGATTTATTTTCTTCGGACTACTATACGGTTAATCAGAAAAGTCGCTCATTTCTACCCATTGCGAACAGTTGTAGTGTCTTTGTTGTCTAATTGGTTCGATTTCGTCTCAATGATTTTTGTTCACGTTTGTTCACATCTTCTTGTGTTTCTCTACACAAATATGTACATGTTGTCTGTAATAAATAGGTATAAAGCACAATATTTTCGACGTTAGTCAGTCCTTCTTGGGAATTTAGCAAGCATTCTAATCCCATCCAAAACCGTCGTTGCCTATTGAATGTGGTATGGCCTACAGGGTACAGCATCGTGATGTGTGAAATCGTGGTGTCAGCACGACCCCCTCCCCCTTCCAACACCTACCTACCACTTTCCTACATGTTCCCAGCTTCCTACCAGTTTTCTCCGAAATTTCGCGAAAATTTGCTACTTTCTTCCCCAAAACGTTGTGAGCGGGGGGAAGGGGAGGGGAGGTGGGTGGAGGTCGTCAGCAACTAACTACTGATTCCAACTATCGGGAAAGAGTAATTATACCTAGCTTTGGCTGCGCCTCCAACTAAGAGGGATGATCAAGTG